ATTTTGGTACGGTATTTCCTTTGTTAGCAATTACTCAAATATCTATCTCAATTGCCCTCTTTGTTCAGATATGTATCTTTTCATCCATACGCCAATCTCACATTTTTACAGTGCCTATGCAACTATCTTAGCTATTGCTGGTCAATGCAAATGCTTCTGCTTAATTGTTTAATGAAATCCACTCCCACTTCCCAACACATATAAGCCCCCATGATTTTAAGTTGGGTTCAATCCAGTCAGACTTGAATTCATTCAATTCTGCCATTTTAATCATTCATTTGCTGGTTCGTTTCCATAATTCAAATAAAGGTTTAATTACCCAAGTTTGAGGATGCGCACTACAAATCAAATTTCCCGACAGTGCTACACATGTATGAAAAATATGTTGCAAATTATAAAATATAAATTTCGTAAATAATAAAGAGAACTGTAACTGAGTAATAGTATTATTAATTAGAGATTCAAAATTTATTTCGAAATCAGAATTTAACACTGGCACAGAATGAACCAAAGTGTAACAGTAATTGTCACATGAATATTTAAAGTCAACTATGGATTGGTTTATTTGAATAGCAATGATGTAATTTTAAATAAAATATGACAAAATTTTGCTTTTTCAATTAATTCAAATTTTGAGGATAGCTCATTGTTGTAGATATTAGTTCTAATATCTCTACATAATTTTTTTTTATATTACATTATTTTTTGAACAATATATGCAGTGAATTCAATTCAAAAAATTACTTCGAAATCGAAGAAAATAATTTATATATATCGGTGATCGTCAAAAAATAATTTTGGTGAAGAAAAGTCGTTGAAAAATTTTGAATTAATTAACAAATCATTACATGCACCATCGGCAGATGAAATGTATTTTGTTGAATTTTCATTCTATTATTGAACAGAATGAAAGGCTAAACATCCGTTTCATCACAAAGCATTATGCTTTGTGAATTATTTCGCAATCAAGCATATTTAGATGGAGTAGAAAATAATTTATGCATGAAATCAGCGGAATTTCAGCATACATAATTTTCCCGAAGAGATTTTTTTTTAGAAAGAAATTGGAATGAGGAAAATTGCGCAGACTTGGCTCATTTCAGTTTCAAGTTTAGCATTTAGAGATTTTTTTTAGAGAAATTTGCTAGACAAATTCCAGTGGGGACAATAATAATATTACTAATCAAAATTTAAATCTATTGGTAAGCAAAACTTCAGGAAAACACAATAAAGAATTGAAAATAATATTTTACAAAGGAGAGCAATTGCATAATTGAAAACTTATTTTGTGAAATTATAACTTACATTAGATACTGGAAAATTGCAAACTGAATTCCTTGTAGCCAAAAAAAAAATAAGAAAATATGAAAGAATGAATTAAACAGGAAAAATTGCAAATGAGAACTTCATTCGCTAATTTTCTTTATTTTTTCAAAAAAATTCCTTTCAGTTTTTTTCTCCGTTCTTTTTTTACAGCAAATTTATATCAACAATGCGAAGTGATTTATTTTTAATTTCTAAAACATTACAAGGTTTTTTCTAAAAGACGAAAAGTATTTGTGCATATGGCATGCTTATAATTATAGTTTTATAATTGTTTATCACCAAATCAGTGATAGCGAATGAAAACAACTCTCATAAAGATGTTATGAGCAAACTGATTATATTGCAGAAATTTGATAGCAACAGGAAATTTTATTCCTTCATGTTCAGAAATAGTGAGTTTAAATTTGCTGGATGATATGAAACTAAAAAATTTATTATATTATTATTATATAATTAAATAAAATTGAGACGAAGAATAAAAGTTAAAGACGAGAAATTGAAGCAAATATTTTCATGGTTTTCATGAATAATGGTTTGATTTATAGAAAATAAAAAAATTGTTAGTCAACTCGTGAGAAAAGATTAATGCAATCATTAAATAAATCGATTTAAAGACTAAAAAAAAACAGTTGGTGAGAAGAAAATTTCAGTTAATAAATCGTCACATCACATTTTTAAATCGATTTATTAAATGATTACATTAATCATTTTTTACGACTTTGATTAGCAATTTTTCTATTTTCTATAAATCAAACATTATTCATGAAAACCATAAAAATGTTTGCTTCAATGACATTTCCCTAAAATTATATTTATATTTCCAAAGCAGTCAGCATGAATTCTACCGCAAAATCCAACAGAATATTACTTTTTATCGTATTTTCCGCAATTATTGTTGGTATGTTTAATGAAGATTTTTTGCATACACTCTTCTACGCTATAAATTACAAATAATCTGATGGCAATTAAGAACTATTTGGCATCCGATTTAATTTCTAAAATTAGCGATTCAGTTAAACTATTGCAGATCAATTATATGAATCACACAAACTATCAGGTCCGCAACGTAAAATTATCCTTAATGAGGACAATAAACTCCGTTCAAGATTGGCTTTTGGAACGATTAAAAACA